TTTGAAGTTGTACCGTTATGAACTGAATCGCAATTTTCAATCACGAATCCATCATCAAAGTTCATGAGCAATGCTGCAATGTCATTTAATGTTCTAGTCGAATCTGTCATTTTATTTGGGAAGATAGAAGTATTATATATTGTATATAATAATATTATGATGGTTTGTACTTAAATATTAAAAAATGTAATTATGATCAGTGATGTAATGCTAAAATAAATTATGGGTACGCGCCTTATTTCACGTAGAAACTATCACATGGTAAGAATCAAAAAAAAAAAAACTCACTCATAAACTACACATCCTTAATTTTGACTGTTTGAAAACAAAAAACATTTGTTAAATTATAATAAATTTGAATTTTCCATTAAAAAAAAATTAAAAAAAAAAAAAAACTAATAATATATCCGATACCGACTCACGTCATAAATATAACCACAAGTTGTATTATTTATATTTGTCAAATTACAAGCTATACGCTAGATATGGCCGTTATCATCAATTTCTCATAAGCTATACGCCATGGATATAAATAGCGTATTGAGTATATGCCGTATACCTCCGTTTACCCACCAATACACCACTTATCTTGACTGATGCTTTCTTGGTGAGGCAGGTATAACCTGAAGATTTGGATTGTAAAAAAAATATTCTCATAATTTTCTGTATTAATTTTACAAACTTATAAATTATAACACTTAAAGGTGACAACGATACAATACAAGTAAACTGCATTGTAAAAATTTAAGGAAGTGTCATATAGGTTTATTATAAATAAATTGTTCCGTTAGCCGACTTGCTTTGCGATAAGTAAACCAGTCCGTGTTAATAAACCAAAATGCCGTAATTTATAATTTGTTCTATGGACTAAGATAAAATGCCGTATTATTTACGGCGTTAGTGCTTAGTATAGCGATTTTACGGCGTTATTACCTATTACCCACGATTTTTTTTGCGATTTACGGCGTTTTAGTTATTTGATTATTGCTTATACTATATTTTTGGAGTAATATTTCTGACATACGGCATATTCATATACAATAGCCGAATTTCACAATTATTTTATTTTGTCTTTACCTATTTTTTTATTTTTTTAGAACTTACAGCGTTTTTGCTTACGATGGCAGTATAGGTATATAAACGGCACGTATGGCTACTAAACTCAAGATTAATAACAATTACAAGATTACATAAAACTATACTCACGTTACTGCAGTAGTTAGCACTGTACTGGGCCTACCCTAATTGTTTTTCAATAATATATTTCATGAAAATTACAGATGTTAATATCCAGTGGCGTGCTGAGATAAAAATTTGTTTGATGCCAATTGCAAAGTCTAGTTTACCACCCACCCACCCACCCATATCTAAATTCATCTCATTCAAAACTCATACATCAATATTTCTCTACCTAAATATATACGATAATTATGTGATTTATATATTATCCAACAACCATCCATTCCTTTTTAACTTGATGCCTGAATGTCTTCATTTAGACCTATATTCGGCACGCCACTGTTAATACCTATTAATACAGTGTTTATTAATCAGGTCTAAATAGGCGTAGATCACGAAACAAAAAAATAGTACCTATGTATATAGGTTAGGTTATAATTTATATTATATATATAATATACTTAATATATACCTAATATATTTGTAATAATAAATTATTTGTTCACACAACAGTTTATACCATCATAATTATTCAAAGATATATAATTATTACATTTTATCGCTGTATTAACACGAATGTATTCGGGGTTTGTTTTTTATTATTTTTTTCTTTTTCAGTCAATTAGCGACATCAACGATCAAATCCACCCCAACGTCACTTTTAAACATTTAACCAACGACCAAAATGATGCCATTGTACGGATGACAAATACAAGAACAACTGTCCTCGCCAAATTTCTACATCGTGAACATTCTATACCATAGAAAGCATCAAGTGACTTGTTTTTCCAAATTGTACAAGAGAGCGAAGGAAAAAATGAATGTACACTCTTATTAGCGAACATGCCACGTACAATAGTCTTGACTTTTGGGTAAATATTATTTTATGTTATAAAAATTATTATATTCATATCATTATCGTATTCACAGAGTTTTCTAAAAGTATATATTATAAAAATAATACGAGATGGAATATACTTTTGGCCGTAAACCCGTATTAGTTTTAGTTATAAGTTTATTAAAATTAATCAAAAATATTAACGTTCACCATTGATCACATAGGTATTTGTTACAAGAGTATCTATTATTTATGAAATAATGCAACATTAATATGATGTATGAACAGTCAAACAAACAACTTACGTTACAAGTTACGCTGAAATTATTAAAATAGGTGAATAATTTTACCTAAATTTTGCACCTATACATTTTCCAAGATTTCTACTTGATAAAATACACAATGTAGTTCTTACTTTAGCTGAAAATGTTTTTCGCAAAAACACCACTTAAAAGATTAAAATGATCAAATAATATTGATAATCATTTTAAAGTTTGAAACAAAAGTTTACTTGTTTTATTACAATTATTGGAAATAATATAAATCGAAATAAATAAATAAAATATCAATATTATAAAAAAAATTAATATATAATATATATAGTTATATATGGTTAGTTTTTTTTTTTAATTGGCGTTAATATTAAAAATTACTTTATATATTATCTATTTTGTCAGTATTTATCATTAGTTTAAAAAAATTCTTTGCAAAAATATTCTGTGATATTAAACATATATAACTATTTATACTTTTTAGTTTAAGTAGATTAATTATTATATTAGATACCTATATTTTATAAAAGTACTTTATTTTTTAATTTATACATAGAATTCAGGATTTTTTTTTTGTTTCACTTAAACTTTATTTCTTTGAGGGGAGAGGGGCAAACATTATTTGCTCCAAAACGGCATTGGCCCTTAATCCGGCACTGATGCTATCACAATCCCTAATCGGTTAATATAGCATAATAATAATACGATTGTAATTCGATTATGTACAATTTAAATAAGAATACAGCATTTCCCACTAGGATAAACAACGATACGGAAAGGATAGATTTAAGAAATAACGGTTTACAATCACATCCACGTAAAATCAAAGAACTGTAAATCGGTAGCTACCACGAGGATGTGATAATTATCATTTATTATCGTCGTTAACATTATCTTACATACAACACATTACATTACATACTTACATTATAAGTATAGACAATTTAGGGTGTGCAAAATGATGGTATTACGCTTTCACAAAAAATGACAGGTGGTACAAGTGCACCTCCCGAGATTACACCCACGTAACCCATTACCAAATTTAAAATGAAGAACATTACCCGTGCCTTCTCGTAGGTTTTTTTACGATATTTTGGTATTTGAGCAAGTTATGAGCTATTTTAAACTGTAATGTTTTATAACCTACTCAAAATGTTAATATCACAAAACACCTACGAGAAGACACGGACAACGATTTTCCTTTAAAATTCGACTAAACGACGGTTTAATATTAAAGCTAACAACACGAAATTGGTTCTACAGAACGCAATGTTGTACGTTTGTAAGACGAACACACACATACAGGATTTAAATCTGCTAAAAATTAAATTTATCTATTTTAAAAAAAAACAAATATAACTTGTTTGCGTTTACCACAAACATGGTACGTAAATCGTCAACAGTAAAATGTTCGTGTCTGTTCATACTTGATATCGTTGCAGCCTGAATTAGTCTCTTTGATCAAGCGCACGTAATTGTTTCGCTTGTGTTTTTTTGTTGTAAAACAGCCGTAATTATAAGCGCCATAATTATTGTTTCAGTCTTAAAATTGTGTACGGGATGGGTCTGTTTATTTTTCCTAACATTACATTTTTCTTCTTCTATTCTCAGTTGAATTGGAATAAAAAATATAAAAAAAAAAAAAAAGGAAAAAGTCGTTTCTCAAACAATATATTATAACGTTTACATAGCCGCGGTAACTTTGAATTGCCTATCCCTAAATCCAAATATATAAATGAATACCAACACACACGGTTTGTACGCGTTTTTCCTTCACTTCCGACTCGCAGCGTACTTTTGGTACGCACAAAGCGTATGAAAAAAATACAAGCATACGCGTATATGTACAACTCGGCCGTCACACAGATCTGGACAAGACATAATTGGAAATGATAACGCAATAGAACAATTAGAAACAGGAAAAAATTGTATTTATAAACTATGTACAACTGCTGTTCTTTGTTTTATTTATACAGAATTATATTTACTTAATTATTAACTAAAAAACCTGAATATGCGATTTAGAAAATAATACATCGAGATTTTTTTTTAAACTTCTTTAAAATTACATACAAAATTGGATATTTATAATTGTGTAAGTATACACGTGCACAAACATATGTATGTATAAATATATATTAGGCATAATATAGTTTTGCAGAGAATTAAACACGCCAAAATATAAAGTATACAACACCTATCTAAAAAAAAAAAACATCACAATACACCAAAAAAAATAAAAAGTATGTTTAATACGAGAAATACATAGTGTTTAAATATTTAACACATTACGTTTTATACATTCGAAATAAAATGAGCTAAGAATTGTAATAATGATTACAAGCGAATATCTCGCGTTTTAAATTCATTTAAACGGTTTACAAAAAATGTATATAATAATTGTATAATAAAATTGCACATAATAAATATTAGCACACGAAATAAAACCAAACGAAACAGCTGCTAAAAAATATTAAATAATATAATTTATTTATAATAATAATAATAATAATAATAATAATATTAATTAAAACTTAATTTAAATATTAACAAAGAGGTATACCAATTTATTTAAAGTAACAAAAGAAATAAAAATTAAAAATAATACTAAACGCTTCGGGGTCGATTGATATTTTTTACGTACAACAACGTACGACGTTTCTTCTTTTTCGAATACATCTCGTCGTCACGAAGAAAAAACGTTGGGGTAACTTAATGAGAAAGTAAAAACGCGTAAACGTTAATCGAACGCAATAAGTCGATGGCAATACAATTAAATCTACGGCTCTTAGCAATAAGAAAAAAAAAAAAATTAAAAAAAATTGTTAAATAAAATAAAAAATTAATAAACAACATAACACGGTAACTCGTCCAGTGCGCGCGCGACTACACTACTACTGTTGCTGCCGGCGGCGGTGATGTCAACTTACGGAGAACGCGTCCACGCCCAACAGCTGTTTGAGTTTGTCATCGTAACGGACCAACAGTATTTGTTCCTCGGCAGGTTCGTCCGCAGCGCCACCGGTCTCGTCTTTGGCCGTCGGCTGTTCCGCGACGGCGGTTTTGTTGACGGCGGTGGTGGTCTTGTTGTTGGCGATGGGCGCCGCCGGTTGTCGGCCCAACGTTTTTCTGGGCACCGCGCACTTGTTGAACCGGTCCAGCGGTACGGCCGTCACCGCGTTCTCGTCGTCCAACAGCTTGGCCAGCGCGTCGGCCGTCTTCACGGACAGCGCGGACGACACGTCCGAGAACAGTACCCAATCGTCGTCCGCAGTGACCGCCGCGTCCGCGCTGCTCCCGTCCGCGGGAGGCAGCTTGTAAACGTCCGGCAACGATTGGTCGGCGAACTCGAACTCGAACGACGGCACGTCGTCGGCTGACGACTGCGGCGGTGAGGACCATAGCAGCCTGTCCACGTCTTCGGGTTCACCTGTAAGTACAGCGCACACATTAATGACGAACCAGTGAAAGAGATGTGCACTCGGTCTCTGGGTCGGGGCATGCCGGTTTTCCTTCCTTCCCCTCTCTATGCCCCGAGGCGATTCTGCGGGACGCTAGCTTGCACCTCACCCCCCTTTATAGATCCGTTTTCATATCCTTCAAAATTCTTAGAACGCGTCTCTAAACAAATCTCGGAATATCGATCTATAACTACCGTTGATCAGGGCCGAGAGGATTCAACCTATACGATCCGGCTTTTTTTTTCTATATCCTCTTTACAAATAACTTCCCCTCCAAAACGGTATTCTGGATACGCCCCTGGAACTGATTATAACAATAATGATCACCTCGTGGTTAAACCATGTTATTATTTAGCAAGGTGAACATGAACAATAGTGCATATCCAAAGGCAATTGATGGAACAATCGATATTTACGGTTTAGAGTGAAATTGTACATCCAAACACAAAGTTGTTAATCTGAATAGACAATTCTGCAAATCCACTGGACAAAAAATATTTTTGAAACACTGAATTAGTAGTCAGAATGCCGATTATGATACGATTAATTAATGCACCGTGTACATACATTTCTGAGATACTTTAAATTACATACAGGCCATCAGTTATTTTGAAAATGGAAAAAAATGTAATAATTGATAAAACAAATGAATAACGCAACCTTTTTAAATTTGTTTTTTAATGTTAGTCTCATTTCCATCGATTTCGCCGACATCCGAGATGTCGTAACTCGACTTTTCGAGTATTAAACTACTAATTGCATGTATCACGGAAAAATTGTGCTCGTCGCTCACCAGATTAATAATCTCTAATTATCTAATGGTTAAGTACACACATCTAAAAACGCACTGATACTTTATGCAGTCGATCGTTTGTAGTTTGAGTCCACAGCGAATGGAGACAAAACAAATTTGAACAATTTAGTACAAAATATGTCAACAAGTAGTAGTCGAATTTTACGTATTTTCTATCGCTACATATAAAAATAAATAATCATACATTTCTTAATTTGTTTTACTACCGCTCTTATCCCGTATTAACTTTAAATCTATAATTAACTGATACCACTCTTAACGTTATATTACTTATATACTTTTGTGTTTATTGTATACGATTGTTTTTTAAAAACACGGTAAGGTGCAAAATAAATTATTCTGCAATTGAACATTGTCGCAATTGTTTATAGTTCTGACAATTTTTCATAAAATTTAAGGCGATAAAAACATCGTACAAGCACATCAAAGGTAAAAAAATACACTTACCGTTTAGCGTAGTTTCGTCAAAATTCCACACCGACGCGTTCCCATAGCCTTGTATGTCATTTACATGATGCTCAAGTAGCATTCTTGTCTGTTTGTCCGTGGCCAAGGACAGTGGTGACTGCCCTGAATAAGTGGCCAAATGCGGGTCAGCACCGTAACCGAGCAACAGACGTACTAGATGTACGTCACCGTTTTCTACGGCTTCGTGTAAAGGTCTGAAAAATAAAAATCAATTTAGAAATTGTACGCGATTTTACCTTTGTCATTGCACCGCAGTAACAAGCGCAATATCTTTTCCAGTAAACAACTATTGCAGCGATTTTGACAAAGGTTCATATTAAGATACCGCCATATAGGACACTTATTTAAGTGTGAAAGTAACAAACTAAAAATCGTATTAATCAAATACTGTACGATATAATTAGTATAATTAAAATAAAATAAATGTTTATTGATAACTCAATAACTACTAATCGACGATTATATGTTGGAAAACTATAATATATTTAGCCGTTTTATCAATTCAAAATTTGTTTTATAAATACACTGCATATACACGTACCTTATGCCTCCTTGGGCGCTAGCGCTTACGTCTGCACCGAACTGAAGCAATAACTTGGCTATATGATAATGGCCTTGCGAACACGCTTCGTGCAGCGGAGTGTAACCCGCGTTGTCAGCCACCGAAGGCGCGTATTCAAGTTTTTCAATGCAAAAACCGACAACGTCCTGTAAAAAAACAATAAAAAAAAAACCATATCGTTAATATACTTCTAATTCGATGTAATCATACGTATAAAATACATGAAGACGAAATCCCGAAGTTGGACATATATATATATACATTATTTACTGTGTCTAGAAAGTTTATAAATCTGTTTTCGTACTAAAGCGTATCGCGAACGAGTTTCTAAACTTTCTTGATATACAATCTACATACATGTACCTACACATTAGGTGCACGCGTGAGATTTTAATTATTTTTTAACAGTCCAAGTTTATCGTTTAGCCTAGAAACAATATTTCATCAAGGTATATATATATATACGATCATATATATCGTATCATTATGCAATCGTAAGTGGGACGTGTTAAAAATACGCGAATCAATCGTATGTCGAGTAAATACAAACCTAGTAAAAAAAAAATCTCGTTGAAAAACAATAAATTTAACTACTTATTAAGAACAGAGAAAAAAGAGCATTAATAAATTAATAATGTATTTAATTTCTCGTTTGATGAGCAAAATATTGCCGTGAACACGTACCTACGTATAATATATTGGGGAAATTGTCGAGTGCATATCTTCCTGAAGACGGACTAGGGTGGTATGTACGGGTATATAATGGTAATAATATAATAGGGCGTCACGTGAAAATCGTTTTTGGGCGGAGAAAGGTTTACGCGAGTAAACACAAAACAACAGAGTGTCATCGTAAATATACGTCAACCCGGTGGTATTATCGAACTTTGTTCGTGGCGCAGTGTGTGTGTGGGGAGGGGGGTATCTGACGGTCCTATATATACGATCAACTAATTCCAAGAGAAACACGAGCATTATTGCGACTGCGTCGCAGTTTTAACGGTACACGTGTATACAATATATTTATGTAATAAATAATATATGTATTGTCACGCGTAAATGGAGGACATATTGTAATAATAACGGTACCCCTTCTACCACGTGTCACGTCAAGTTTTGATCGATCAGATTCGCTTTGTATTATTTTTTTTATTGTTTGTTTCTTTACTACGAAACAATACTTTCGCGTGTACATCATTGTAAATAGATATCTGCAACTGAAGTGCATCCATGATGATTTTTTTTTTCAAATATATACTAAAAAAAAAAGTGGTAAATCCTAATAAGAAAAGAAAATCACAGAAACAAGCTTCGAACGAAAAGATCATTACTGACAATAATTATGGTAGGTCCAACGTTATATTAATTTTGGCGATTTGGCTAGTTTAGAATCGTTACCATTCTAACGAATCATGTATAAAACATTGATAAAACAATAGAAAAAAATAAATACTGATAGGTATGAGACGAGGTAGAAGTCCTGATGGATAAGTGCATTATATTTTTATTTAATGTAAAATTCATAATAGAAAAAAAAAGCATTGTTTTATATTTATAATGTATGCAAATTTAGAGAAATGGGGATACGGGGTATATATAATTATAAGTGTCTTCTACATTTAAAAGTATTTAGTAAGTTAGAAGTCAGCTATTAATCAATTTTAATTTTCAGTATATTTCACATATATTAATGCGAAATAAAAATTTCTATTGTGAATTTAATATTTTATTCAGAAATACGATTATAAACTAATATTTTCAAGGTATATACATGTTACAGCAGTGGTGACGGCGGGACACTAGCAACATTTTGATCATACCAACTGCAGTACGGAGATACGTTCGTAATTTACTCCTCTAACAAAATACACTCCCATATGCAGGACATATTTGAAAACTAATTTAAACGTGAAACTTGATAAAACATCAGCATATATGTAAGCGGGTGATGATGTACAATAATTTTATGCAGATGAAAATTTGATAAAAACAAAAACTAACTAAACACGAGAGAGGAAAAATGGAAAGCTTGTTGAATCCGACCAGCAATTTTCTCTTGCATAATTAGTGTGGTAGTATCACTAGTAGTTGCCATATGTATCACGACTACCACGGACTTTTTAAATATGCTCTCTGCTCTGATGGTGTCCCCTTAGACTAGTCTTTATGTGCAGGTGTTTTAAAAAAAAAATGTTGAGAAAACTTTTAACTATGCACCTATACAAACACATTTACATATATATGATTTGTTAATTGATGTAAAATAATAAAATACAAATTTCTAGAAACGAAATAATTAATAATACGACCAGAAAATTTGGTTTAGTTAAGAAAAAATTACCTTATTTAAGATTGTAAATATAATAACTAATATTTAATTATATCTTTAGACTATTTGTTGAGTATAATAAGAGGCAAAAACAGAAATATGATAACGTTGGCAAAGACGAAATCAATAGAAAATAAAATACTCACTTTGACTCCTAATCTGGCAGCTCGGTGGAGTACTGTTTCGCCGTGTCCCTTGTTCACTATCCATACTTTGATATCGGCTTGAATTTCGGACACATAACGTGGCGCGCACTTCGGCGGTGGCGTGGAGATGGTAGAAGATACAGAGGTGGCTGATTTTTTTTCCGACGCGGGTTCCTTCTTCTTCTTCTTTTTGATGTAGTCAAACCCTGACCGAAACTTTTTGCGCATAAATTTTCGTTTAAACATCATACGGGCGGGAGGTGGTTTTCTGCCATTTTTGCCATCGTCGTCATCATCTTCGTCTACCTCGGTGTTGACATCCTCGTCATCTGGAATATCCGCGGTGGCCTCATCGCCGGCACACCCTTTCTTTCCCTCGTCTTTTTGTTGTCGCCTTTTGCGCAGATTACGTTGCATCAACTTCTCGGCGGACACGATCTTTTCACGTTTTAACAGACGCCGGCCTTTAAATACATCCCGGCGTCCGAACAAATGACCTAACCGCTTCGTCTTGTTCTTTCCGGCGGCTGAGGTTGAAGCGACGGCTACGGCAGATGTCACGGCTGCGTGTGACTGAGACGCCGACTTTACTGTTTTAGGTACTTTGGCCGGCTTTAACAGCGGCGGAATGTTCATGATGGATGTCAATGATACCTGATCGGGGCCTACAGCGGAAGGTGGTGACACCACTGATATGAGTTTGGACGGCAGGCGTAGTGACCGTTTGAACTTGTACAGCTCGTCCTTCCAATCATCCGTGGTCGTAACGGCCGGGTGTGCGGACTTTTCACCTAACGACTTTTTCCGCCGCCTTTTTGGAATGTTTTTGTTTTTTGCATTGGCTTTCTTTTTCGCGGCCAGCAGCGGTTCCTGTTTGACCAATAACGGTCGGCTCCGAGACCTCAGTTTCATTCGCATTGACTCAATGTTATCTTTTTCTTTGGGCTTCTTAACGACCACAGTGGCTGCCGCTTTCACCGGGATCTCGTCGGTCTCGAAATGAACGAACGGGTCATCCAGCAACTCGTCAAAAGCGAACGAGTAATCTTTCAACGAGTTTTTTCGTCTCAATGATTGCCTCGGGTTGAATTTACTGGTCACTTCGTTGATGGCGGCTGCGGCTGCAGCCGCGGCTGATCGTCTCGTTGTGTTTTCATTGTTTTTTGTCACATTTTCTTTCTCTGCTGCCATCTTCTTCTTAGTAAGGTCTGTCTTCTTATTTTCCTTCTTGTTATTGAGATCTTTTTTGTTTTGTGGATCCTTCTTTAGATCGCGTTTTTCTTCTTTTTTTAGTCCTTTTTTCTCTTCTTTTGCCGCTGCAGCAAGCTCTTTCTTTTCCGTTTTCAGCAGTGATACATCTTTCTTGATTGTTTCTTTCTTTTCGCCCTTTTTTAGCTCTTTCTTTTCTTCTTTTTTCATTTTCAACTCTTTTTTATCTTCTTTTTTCAATTTTTTCACTTTAGTTACAAGTAATGGCTTTGGAAATTTTAACTTGAATAATCGTTTTCTTTTTGGTTTCACTTTTGATGTTGCCTTTTCATCGTCTTCTTTTTCTTTATCGTCCGTCGTCTTCTCTTGATCTTTTTCTTTTGTTTTGTTTTCTTTATCCATATCCAACGATTCTATTTTAACTGACTTATCACCATGATTAATTTTTTCTTGAAGAGCAAACTTTTCAGATTTAATTTCTTCTGTTGGTTTCTTTAACACATCTTCTTTGAAATCTTTTACTTTATTTTCTTGCTCAGATTCGGAAATAGGTTCTACTTTTTTTCGTTTAGTATACTTTCTTTTGGGCGGTTGTGGTAGTTGTTCTTTTGGCAGTTTTCTCTTAATTGGCGTTTTAACCTTTTTCTTTTCTTGGGTTTCAGCCAACTGCACTACAAATGAGTTGCACGTATTCATCCAGAACTCTTCGTCGTCATCTTTTTCCACATCCTCTTTATTTAATAAACATAGTTCCGGATCTTTAATAGGTGACGATTCTCTTCTGTAAAATTGAATCATGTTAAACGAGTACAATACAAATAAATTATTTTACATTTTAAAATAAGGAATAACTCGTTAATTATATTAACCATAAAAAAAAAATCCAAAACGTTGTAAACGACGTCACAAATAAAACAGTTTACAAACAGATCAAATAGTATAAATATAAATATAATATATATATATATCTTACTTGATATCTAACTTAACGTCAACCACCGATTCAGTTTGTGTGAGCGGAATCTGCTCTTGTTTGGTTTGAGGCACGCTATTATTCGATGGTAAAAATGGGTGAGGCGAAATGGCCGTGGCAGCAGCCATTGGGCTACTCATTCTCATGCTACTAGAAGACCCTTCAGTCGAAACCTAAGAAAAACAAAAACATGAAAATAAATCATATTTTTCTTGACTATTTGCTGTTAAAAACAATTTAATAATTTAAAAATTATTATTACAGTTGGAGTTAAAATAAAGTGTTCATTATATTATCGAAATAAAAAAAATTAAACGGTAAATTATAATATAATAATACATTTTTTTAGTAGAACCACTAAATTATTGTTCATGGTACAAACATTTAGACGTAAATTATCATTTTTCTTTTAGAATCGTTAAATATATTCAATTATTATTATTATCATATGGTGAATATATTCAATAATATTAATTAATAATAACTATAAACAAATAGAAATAATTTGACGATTTTTTTTCTTTGCAAAATCAATAATTCATATATTAATTCACTATTGATTTAAGTTCGGTGTCGTGTACTGAATTTTTGAAGATACAATTATAAATCATTACTGAAAGCTATTGTTTCGAAATGCGATTGATGATCACGGTGAAAAAATGTAGGTTAATAGATTGGAAAATATAGTAAAAACCAAACGGGTCAAAAAAAATATATATATATAAATCTAAGTCGCACCTGTTTTCTCTCAGCTTTGGTGCGGATCCGGGGCGCGCTGCAGTACGCTCGGTCCATGTAATAGTCAATCTTTTTGGGGAATGGCGTGACGGCCGTGCGCTCGGTCATGTAATAATCGGTCTTCTTCAAAGGCGTAGTCGACGGCTCCTTCCGTATGGGCGTCGAGAACACCATTGCGGGTGTGGACGGCGCCTCAGCGATTTGCGGGCGACTGCTATGGTCACGCGCTTCGATGTTCTGCTTCAGTATTTCCAACACCCGTTTATCGGCTTGCGCGGGTCCTTGCTGTTGCTGCAAAACCGGTGGCAGCTGCTGCTGCGGATGATGATGATGATGATGTTTCTTCGCTGAGGTGTACGTGCTAAATTTTTGCTCAATCTGACGATCGATGGCTGCACGCCAAGCTTCGTCGGCGGGCGAGAGCTGCAACAAAGGAGGCCCCTGGTGATGCACCACCGGTGGAAGCGGAGTTGGCAAGGCGGGAGACGAAGACAATGGTAGTTGCGTTTGCAACGAAGACACCACTGCGGGCGGTGGTGCCAGTGAAGATGGTGGCGGCAGTGACAGTGGTGGAGCTTGTAGTTGATGGTAGGTGGGAGCCGTGGTATTATGTTGTGGTTGTCCACTGACCACTACGACGGTCGGTGGAGCGGGTTGTGCTATCGATCCAGCTGCAGACAGGGATGTCGACGAGCCACGGCAAGCGTTGAAATCCGGTTTGAAGTTCACCTTGGGTATGTCGTGCCCGAATGGGTTCAACCGATCGTCTGTCGAATCGGCCGAACGGCACACGGTTTTCACTGACAGGTCAAGTGGAGATTCGCGTTTCATCTCGAAACGCAACTTGGTCGAAGTATTGGTCGTATTCTCCTGTCCAACTTTAACCTGCTCGGGAGAGAAAGAAAAATTAGTTTTTAAATTCATAACCACTATGCTCTTTACAAATCGACACATCTAATATAATTTGGAGATGCCAATGGAAAACTAAACAAATCCCAATACTTCATAGAAATACACACTATAATACTGTTCAACATTTCTTTTGACCATTTTCCACATCATGAATTACTTCTAGTTTTATCTACAACTGAGCATACATTATATCTTTATTATAATATACATATGCTAAAACACTGAATACTGATTGATGAAAAAAGATATCGGATGAATTAACTCCTTAGTTGGACTTGTTTAAGATTTTACCAATGATAGTAAAGAAAAGTTTACAGGTATTAAAATATATTTATTTATTCATTTATACAACTACAATACATTATTATTACAATATCCAATAAATATTTTTTAAAAAATTCTTCACACGGATAAATCTTTAAAAATAACTTTCCTCGTGTGCTCTCTAATGGTGTAATTATACTTGTATAAATGAGAATTCTTGGGTTCAACAAAAGATAAGACATTAGAAGACATCAAAAGTTTAACCATTAAATACAAATCGTAACGGCTAATTATGACACCATCGTCACAGTTATATACGATCTTGCACGTTCATTTGAGCAATACGAGTAGATATATAGAATTAAAAAAGTTTTAAAGCACTTCCTACAAATTAGATATGATAACGAAAAATTGAAAGAGAATACAAAACTAAATAAAATACAAATCATTTATATACTGATCCAAATACGTTATACGAATAAATACGTTAGTCGTAATTAATAAAGATGTATGTAAAATATTTATAACACACAAATGGTGTAAAAAATCGGCTAGTAATGATTTTGGCAGAATTTCTTAATACGTCCATATTGAGCAAACACTGTACGTATATAAAGCAAACACGAAAAAGTTATACAAAGGAATAATACATATAAAAAAATTCTCACAAAAATATCTATAAAGAATTACTATAAAATATAAAAATAGAGAGCATATTTTATTTTTATGAAAGGAAAATTAATTTCTTAACTTAAAAGGTTGATTTTAGATACTATTTTTGGTATACGACTCATTTTATAAAGTTTAAAATTATAAAATGTAATTAAAGCTATGTTTTCTGTGGCCATAATAAATCGAATAGTCAGCTATGGATAGAATAGTTTTGACAATAATTGGTATATGATTTTTTATAAGCGTTTACTTTGAGACGAAGTATTTTTCAAAGACGTCTTGCAGAACCATCTCGATGACGAGTGGCAGTTCGCGACGTAAGTAACGCCTTTTTCTATTATTTGGTCACGTGATAAAACCGCGTAAACGTTTTATATAAATCAAGAGAGAGAACACTTAAATAATACTATTGTTACAAATTATAGATCGTGTATTGAGATATTTATTTAAGGTAAAGTAAATTTCAGTTCTATTAATGATTTGAAATTCATTAAAATTCATGTATTATCATTATTGTAAGTGAAAAAGTTATTATTTTTGTAATGGATTAAATTCATTTACATCTTCTTTGGAGACTGATTTAAGATTAGATATTCAATAAAAATAAATTATAATTGATAGAATTAATGTTGGTATGCTATCCCAAGGTTAGACCTGAAGTGGATGGCATACATACAAGTAGGTATTGAAATTATCACTTATGAGAAAAAAAACTATAAATATACAATTTAAATAATGAAAATTGAATCATATAGGTACTTAGATAAGTACAGTGACGTGGCGATATGGATAATCGAGAGGCGGTCGCCTCAGTTTTTTGGAGAGTGGATGGGCAAAGGCCGTATCTAAAAATTTTTTTCGGGAGGGGTCCAAAACATGTATATTGTAATTTTATTGAATTGAGATTTTAACTTTTGATATTTGGTTAAAAATAAGACAGAAAAAGATTTAATCTTCTTTTATTAAAATTAATATCATATTTTCATATGATATTATAATATACAGTTTAAAGCAACCAATGATTAATTGGAGCTTAAGTCGGTATTGAAATAAATAAGTATTTTAAACATTCGTAAAATATTGAAGTAATTTCTGGGAAGGCAGGGGGTCGAGATACCCTAGACCCCCCAGATACGGTCATGTGGGTGGGTGTCGACAAAATGTACTTGCCTCTGAAAATTATTAAGTTGGTCACGCCACTGGATAAGTAAGAATAATTGTACACGAAAATTGAAGTCAGACTGAGTTCATTATAGGAAATATGATCGTGTTCGTGTGCTATGATTGTAATAATATTCCAAAGATCCACCTTCGTAATAACAATTAATGAGAAAATTTAAAATAATATGTATGTAAAATTTAATTTCTCATCGTTACAACCAATCCCGTAATGAATGGTATAATTATAATAACGAATCTAATTAATTTCGATTGCGTGCGTACCTGTTGTGTAATAATTTTGGTAACTGTCTAAAGCTCAAATTATATATAATATAAAATACATTCGGAGTATGTGTAAGTATGGATACGCGTTATTTTGATCGTATGAAACAACGGTATCGACGAGAAGGAAAACGAAATAAGGAAATTAAAAAAAAAAAGTTTATCGAATGCCTTTGAAAATAGTCGTCTTTTGAATACGTATAATTAAATTAAATCGTTATAACGGTTACTATTGTGCAATAATATTATTTCGTTTTCGTTCGTACGAGCTTTTAATTTAATACCAATCAGGTCACATAATATTATAATAATAAAATCTTCATGTTTGTGAAACAATGACACCATATTTTTATAATGCATGTGTAAGCGCACTCAATCTTAAACACTGTAATTATGCGGCATCGTTTCACGTGAGGCTGAGAGCGATATTTTTTCGTTCGTCTCGTCCAAGATGAGACCGAAAAAAGAAAACCTATAGATAAACTCGATTAATTTTAACATTACAAAATCGATTGGTGCATTCGATTATTGTACGAGTATACCGTGTGCGATTAATCTTGTACACTTGGCACTGGATTAGTGGTCATTCCCGAGAACGGACGCAAACGCTAAACGGACTGCAAGTATATTACAATCACGTACCGATCGAAACATTGTGAACGTTGTATGTGCGACGAGCAATTTAAATAGATATTAAATACACAATCATCTGGCAAGTAGGCAAAATGCGAAAACATTTTTTTTTTATATAATAGTTTAAAAAAAAAAATACAATATACATTTAAGACAAATTAATCGGAATATCAGTATATATATTATATATGTATAAATTATCACTCAAATGGTAATATTTTCTACGACCAACAAGTTATCGATTATGAAATGTTTTATTTCAAATTAATCGTACGATAAACTCAAACGGAATTCTTTTACTTCAAAAATCATTCGTATGGAGATCATATGATAACTGCACTAGACGCAATACTTTTCAAAGCAAAAATAATTTAACTTAAAACCGTTACAGTAAAAGAACACGAGGATAATCCGCATCACTTGGAAAATCATAATGACACGCCCATGTGGCGTTGACCCACTCAAAAAACAGTTGCTTTCTTAAGATGCAAAGAATATTAAGTATTATACATATACACACATGCACAGTATGATTTCCGTCACAATTAATTGACTGCGAAACTAAAAAGAAAAAAGTGTAAAACGCACCTACGCGATAATTATTTAGAATGAATTATTTATAAAACACGGATATACTATATTTAAAAAGGTTTATATTTGTATGTACCGATTATCGCAACATTATATACAAAATGGTCCAGTAATTATTTTTTTTTTACTCATTCGCTAACAGCCAAGTTCTGAAATAAACACGATGTCAACAGCCGTCGTTTTTCATACGAGAAACGGTCATTACTCGCATTCATCGCACCAAACAATAATGATATAAAATCGAATAATATTTTACATATTTGCTTGGGTCCAATACGGTCAAAGACGGAAATATGGTAGCCACTACGCTACACACAATGATAATATAATTATATGTATACACAGGCGATAATATTAGTTAGGTAAACACATCGATAACCGCGATTACAAGGTGTGACCAATAAGTTAGTAATGATACTGATTTTTTTAGCCGCATTTGTGGTAAAATTGGGAACCTAAAACTTTGGTCGGTTAATCTCCCATTCCTCCTCTAACGATACATATGCTCGCAACTTTCGTACGTTTGTTAGTTCTCCAGCTGTATTGTGTTTTCGAAAAATTTTTTTGTAATGCGTTTCACGAATATGAAATTAAGTAATATTGAAGAGCAGTATGCGATTAAATTTTGCGTTAAACTTGATGATTCTATACCTAACGTATGATAAACTGGTCAAAGTGTTCGTCGATGAAGCCCTGGGTTGTGCTCAGGTGTTTCGATAGCCCGTCGACAGTGGCTGTCTCCTGGTGCAGCCAGACGGGAGAGAATAAGCAAATCAAAAGTATTAACGATGACGATTTGCTTCTTTGACAGCAAAGGGATCGTGCAAAAAGAATTGGTACCACCTGGGAAACTAGTTAACCAACATTTCTACCTGAAAGTACTCGATCGATCGGGAAAAAGAAACATTAGAGTCCGTCTTAAGAGTGCTAAAATGTGAATTCTCCATCGTGACAATGCTCCATGCCATCGTACTTTCAGTGTGTCACGGTTTTTTCCGCAAGCGCCCTATTCGCTGGATATGCCACCATGTGACTTCTTATTTCCTCAAATAAAATTATACATGAAAGGAACGAATTTTGAGTCCATAACTGACATCCAGACCGCCATGACGAAGGTGCTCGTATATTACTATTATAACAATAAAAGGGCGGAAAATCATATTTTTATTTGTAGAATTTACCGGACGACGAGATAAACTCAATAATAATCATGTTTAGTCCGTTAAAAACTAAAAACGGAAAAGCAGCACTAAAAAGTTTTTTGTTATCTCAAAATGATTATTACCAACCGAAGAATTAACATTCTCGTTCTTTATAATATTATCATAGTAAATGTTGCGTGAGTGTTACACAGGCAAATAATAATTACG